GAGACCAATTAAATGCAAACTTGCTAAAACAATGCATAAATAGCTATGTGGCTAATGTCTAAAATAAAAACAATACCTACTAGGTGACATTGATGGCAACCTCGCTTGCTATCTAATTTTAATTTGTGATAACCAGTTCACTGTAAAATAATGGCAGGAAAACTCTAATGTCCTCACGAGCTGCACACAAAAACAAACAAAACAGCACAACCAGTGTAATCTGATTCACAAACAAATAACTCATTATGAGCCATTCCTTTAACTGAATGGATCAGAAAACTCAGACGGTCCCATTTTCAATCAATCTAACAAATCCTTCACTGAACGAACTCACTTACCAGTTAGAGAATCAATCAGACTCACTTACTCAACTATACGCTCTATAATTACTTGTGTTGTGTACTTAAGGTTAATGAAGCTTTAATCAATATCATTACGGATTAATTGTTCATATGACATTGAATAGTTAAAGATTTATAAAATAAAACATCAAAATATATACATATATAACCATATGACTCACTCTGTGCCTAAAGTAATTAATTCTGCAGAACTGCTGAACAACAATAACCAAATGCATTCTCTGCTTTCGATAAATGATTCAAACGCACTAACATCACCTTCATTCCCACATCAGGCGGTCACAATGAGTTAGCAAGTGAATGCAGTAGAGACTTAAAACCCAGTCATGCATGCATGCTTCATAAATACACACATCCATCAACACATGGCATATGTGTACAAAGCCACCTGTTCAATAACTCTTTTATCTCTTTAATTAAACAGTGACCACAGCAGATCAGCAGCCTGTATGGCTGTAATAAAGCCGATCTGATAAATGTCTGCAAACGTGCACCAATTCAATTATTCTGCAAAGCCACAACAAACGTGTCTCGAGATCGGACTGAACCGGACGCACTAACAAACGTAAGAGCATGTGACCCCACAGGGCCGTTCTTTGTGTCTGTCTTACGTGGGTGCGTGGAGATCGCTCATTTGTGTGTGTCATGGCATCACCATGGAGATGGGCCTTTTGTCTGAACAGCAGTAAATAAAGAAACAAAACCGTGATCCTGATGAAAGAGGCGGACGGTGAGTCAGGAAGGCCAGAATGCTTCTTAGGTTAGTGTAAACACAGTTAATACATGACGGAAGACGATATTTGGGTGATGTCTATGTCATTAGCTAAACGACAGATCTTAATGTACATACAACAACCTGTGCTCAGTTCAGGCTGTCCTCCTGCACTAGGAACGATCCCTACCTAGTAGCTCCCTACCTAGTGTTCACTGCTTCCTACATCGAGAAGGAGAGATCTGTAGACATTCACTTCACTTGATAAAAATCTGAAATTTGGAAACCTTAAATTTCGAAGGTCCTGCAACATCATTATACACAAACTACACTTACAGTTAATGCATTTTGAGTATAATGACAGTATACTTGTGTGAATGAATACAAATAAATTAAATATTCAATAAATACAAAAAGTTACCATACCCTTATACATATAACTATATATATAATATATATTAAATCTGTTAAATATATTTTATATTAATGCACATAAAATGTCACACTAAAATGTCATTTGTTATACTAAAAAACATTATATTCTTGTGATAATATTTTAATAATACGCTGTAATAATAGTATGTTGTAGTATGTTTAGTATCGTAACATTACAACACTGATATATCGATTTGGAATATCATTCAAATGTTTAAGGTCAGTAAGATTTTTTTAAATAAATTAATACTTTTATTCAGCATGGACACATTGGATTCATCGAAAGTGACAGTAAAGCAGCACAACTGTTTTTGAAATTGATAATTATAATAAATGTTTTTTTAGCAGCAAATCAGAATATTAGAATGATTTCTGAAGGATCATGTGACACCGAAGAAGGGAGTAATGATGCTGAAAATACAGCTTTGCATCACAGAAATAAATTACATTTTAAGTTAGATTCAAACAGAAAAAAAAAAAACATTTTAAATTTCACATTACGGTTTTCACTGTATTTTTTGATCAAATAAATGCAGCTTTAAATGGCCAAAAGAGACTTTTGCATAATACTTTTCTTTCATGATAATAAATTATATTATCTTTTTTTTTTCTCAAGATTTTTCTTCTTTTTGCTGTAATGCCAGCAGCACTCATGTTTGCAGTTGTATTACATACGTCAGCATATTTCTCTGCTGGACACATATGTGACCCTGGACCACAAAACCAGTCTTAAGAGTCAAAATTGAGATTTATACATAATCCGAAAGCTGAATAAATAAGCTTCCCATTGACGTATGGTTTGTTAGGATAGGACAATATTTGGCCGAGATACAACTATTTGAAAATTTGGAATCTGAGGGTGCAAAAAAAATCTAAATATTGAGAAAATCGCCTTTAAAGTTGTCCAAATGAAGTTCTTAATGCATATTACTAATCAAAAATTAAGTTTATATATTTACAGTAGGAAATTTACAAAATATCTTCATGGAACATGATCTTTACTTTATATCCTAATGATTTTTGGTATAAAAGAAAAATCGATCATTTTGACCCATACAATGTATTTTTGGCTATTGCTACAAATATACCCCAGCGACTTATGACTGGTTTTGTGGTCCAGGGTCACATTATTGTAAATTCTGTTTGTGCTTCCAAATACTCAAATCCTCCTGTTCCAGTTAAGTTTAAGGAAGGACAATGAAGAAACTACATCGCAATCGAAAACCTGCAGAAAGACTTCTACAAGGATTCTAACTGATGATCCACCAACAAAGCCAAACTTCAACTGCAAGCACATTTCGTGCGAGTGAAAGGTGTAATCTGAGGATACTACAAGTGTGATGAGAAAAGAGCTGTGACCTTTTAAACCTTAAACCAAAGAAATAAAAGCTCTTGTGAGACACGCTGAGGAGTTTAATCACAGTCCGGTTCCTGCACAAACATTTCCTTTGTCTCTCTGAATAATTGACTTGTTTGGAGGTCCTCAGTGAATGTGTTTCTTAAGCAAGTGTTTGTATCTGTGCAAATCTGCTCGTCTCCACTGATTCTTTCTGCTTTATTTGCATAACCTCAAATAAGTGACTGTATACCAACACAAGTTCCTGAGGAAAGGAGCTGTTGGGGACGGGGTAGTAAAAGGCTTGTATGGTTTCCCTTTAACAAGGAAGGAATGTCTGCTGCCAGTAAATCCTGCAGTGGCACCTAAATCAAATCAAACGCCACGCCACTCCTTTAAAACTTCCTTCAAACTGAAACTCTTCCACATAAGATTTAGTCCCATTTTAAAATGTACTTGCTTCTTTTTAAGGACTCATTCAGTTGGTTTCATGCATCTTCTTTTGTCAAACAGCCCAGTCACTGTTTAAATCACATTAGCCTGCACCTCTTCATGGATGAGCAGTCAGTGTACGGACCCCGTCCCACCCCCACATTCACCCCACTCAGCCTTCAAGATATATTGTGTGGACATTAAGCAGAGACACTTTCACCAAAGACTGCAATCAGCAAAGCAAGCATTGCCACTGGAGCAGATTGAGCGTAGATAAAAAAAAAATAAAAAAAAGAGGAAATTATGGCGCTGTTGATCTGCAACTGGCCAGTGATACAAAGATAAAAGGAATACGTGCATCTCTGAAGGAGTATGAGAGCGCACGCTTTTGATCTGCTTTCCTTCATAAAATAATATATATATAAATAATAATTATTATTAAAATATAAACAAAATTATATCATATTTACATTTTAATATTTTAAATGTGTGAGTGTGTGTGTGTGTATAAAATAATGTTCACATTTTAATATTTAATTTAATAGATACTGTTAATGTTACAATAAATAGATTATTTTAATTAGTATTTACTTTATTTGAACTTTATATAATTAGTGTTTATTTGTGTGTTTGTAAATTGTTAATAAAAATAATTACATTTTAATTTTACACATACATATATATATACACACACACACACACACACACACACACACACCAATTAATTAAATGTGTACATAATTACTTAAATACTAATTAAATAATTTCATAAGGAATCTACAGAATTGAACTAAATATATTAAAAGATATAAAGAAAATAATATATATTTGCATGCATATATATGCAATATTTAATTTACATAAATATATCATATTTACATAACTCAATATTTTAAATGTTAGAATTTGTATACACACACACACACACACACACACACACATATATATAACTATACACACTATATAACTTTGCATATAATGATGCAGATTTCCTATCATACATTTAGTATTTTTAAACCAAATCACACTCCAAGTTTAATATTTACATAACTCAATATTTGAAATGTTAGAATTTGTATACACACACACACACACACACACACATATAACTATACACACTATATAACTTTGCATAAAATGATGCAGATTTCCTATCATACATTTAGTATTTTTAAACCAAATCACACTCCAAGTTTCAGCTACACATTTTTGCAATAAATCAAATACATTCTTTATTTCCCTTATTTGCTAGTAAATTGTCTTTAGTAATGTTCTGAATAACGCCAACACCAAATTGTTTTTTTTTTCATATTAAAAAACTTTATATAATATTAAGAAATATTACTTTTGTTTTTTTAAACCTCACAATAATTTTAGAAATATATATATATAGCCTATTAATTGTGGCACTGTCTCTTTTGGGCTGTAAAGCTGTATTACATCACGACGCCAAACAGCTGCTTCCCTCACACTATATTATCCCTATAGCAAACCTCAAATTATATAATATTTCAGCCTGTTTGATCATTACAGCATCTTAACTTGGCAGCATCTTCAGCACTTAACTGTAATAAACGTTAATATTATTCCATGAAAACAGCAGAGAAAGTAAGTTAAACAGATGTTTATAGCTCTCGCGTCTGAACTTCTCAGCTGCTGATTGCATGCAGACAGGTGCAAACACACACAGCGAGTCAGAAAACATGTTTAAAACAGCACGCACCTCTCACGCAGAGGAGAGACATGGCAACCGAAGTTTTTCCTCTTGGTTAAATCCTGTCACTATAATCGAAGTTCTCAGCTGTCCGGTGACATTTCAAACATGACACAAGTTAGTTCCTCGCCATGAGCGCACTACTGAGGGCACGGATGCTCGACGGAGTAACTCAGCACTGTCCCACAGGTGGCGCGTACTGATTCAGATCGCCAAGACCAACCTGTATGTGCAGAAACTCACAGAAGAAGAGGCGGGGCTTGCAGGGATTTTAATGACGCCACAATTGCCAGAGGGCGGGCTTTGCTGAACTGTTGACCAATGGGTGAGCTAATGGGTGTGGTTTATGACTACAACAGGTGTGACGCTGACCTGTTAACATGAGTGCTGAGAAAACTTTGAGAAATATTTTGGCATTGTTCAATTATATTTTGGTGTGAGACACAGAAATGTATCAATGAAAATATTCAGTACTCAAGACCTCTCTCAGTTTTATGGGAAAATGTACTTTTTGGCTTCACTGAATATTCTAAAGAGGATAAAAAGTGATTGCATTTAAACAATTATATTTTGACCAAATTTCACATTCATAAATGCAATTTCTATATTAAAAAAGCCCACTTTATGGTTTTGTTGACTGGAGTAAGGCTGTGCATAGACAGTATTAGAGACTCTGGATGAAAAATCTGTATAGTCTAAAAGTCTATAGCCTATAGATAGACTTAAAAGTGTGTGATTTCAAAGAAACTTATTTGATATTTTTATACCTGATTGTACCCTTTTTCTGATTTTATTTTATTACCCCCAGCACTTTTTATTTATTTATTTTTGAAGTTGTTTACCTTTTTTTGTTATTTTCTGTTTTATTTTTGTAAACATAATTGTACAAATGTACAATTAAGTCAAACACTAATAAAGTGAATGTCTGTTATTTGCCATCCTATTGTGCTAAATAAATAAACAAACAAATAAATAAATAAAACTGCAGTCACCTGTGAGCCTTTTTCAAATCTGACCCAGGTGTCAAGCCAATAAAATATATGAATTTATGAAAGGAAAATAACGTTTTTATTTTAATTTGCATTATTTTATTCATAATGCATTATTCTAGCAAATCTCCATTGTGAATGGAGAGCATTGTGACTGTGAACACACTGTTATTTTAATATCATTTGCACACTATTATATAATTATATAGTGTACTATTATTTTATTTATTCATATTTCAAATTAGATTTTATTTTTATATTTTCAGTTTTCAAGTTAATCGTTTTCAAGTTTTAGTAATTTTGTGCTTTTGTCATTTTTAATATACATATTTCAATTTAGCTTTATTTATCAGTTTTAGTTTTAGTAGTACAATTTTTTTTAATTACAACTGTAATTTTTGTATACTTTTTGTCAAATCTTCATATTTTATTTTATCTTATCTTCATTTCAATTATGAAAACGAATTGTAATAGTTTTAGTTAATAACAACATTGGACGTAAGCTGCACATTCATCACAACAAACTATCATTTCTACTCACTTATGAAGAAAAAAAAATTGATGCAGTACTACCGGATTTCTGAAAGCCTAGTACTTGTTATAATTCTTATAATTTTTCTAACAATGCTATCATTTTATTTGCAATATTTCACACTCAGCTTTCAGTAACAGGCGGTTGATGTATTCCCGGAACCAAACAATAAAAGCATTTGTTTCCCTCGCAGACTCGGAGCCGGAGGTTTGTCATTGGCGCACGCTGGAGATGTTGTAACTTGATTTCCGCGGCTGTAAGAGGGTCATGTTTGTACTGTAAGCGCGAGAAGAATTAATGTATTTGTTTCAGGCATCTTTAGCGTCTGGTTTCATACAGGCTGACCATGCTCAGGACGGTGGTGTGTCGGGCGGGGAGCGGCCTTTTAAAGGTAACACACGTGTAGCTCTGTGGACTACAGCACTGCTTGACAAATGTGAATGCGGTCAACTTTAATTATTAAAGTTCACTTCGAAATCAAAGGAATATAAATGATTTTGCTCACACGTTTACGTGAAAGATAATTTAATTAATAGTCAAATTATTTATTTATTGCTTGTTTGTTAGAGGTCAGAATGACTTTTTTTTTTTTTTGCCGTTGCAGAGAGAGTGGAATTTATCTTGACTGACAGAACAACAAATTCAGTACAAGAAGTAGTACTAGTCTGGTACTACTACCAGAAACTAATACTTTAAGGGCATTAAAGCCAAATCTGAAATCAAAATTGACCCAAAATGTTAAAAAGTCTTATTGTGAATGATTCATTCATTAACTTGCCTCACCTCTGAACTGAACTATCGTTTTTGTTAACGAAAACTAAAATCATATAAAAGTTTTTTTTTTTTTTTTACTTTTATTACTTGAAATAAAATAAATATTAACTGAAATAAAATAGAATTGAAATGAATTACATTCAAATTTAAGTAAAAAAAAAAAATCATTTTATTTCAGTTAGTTGCCAAAGCAACATTACTCACTTTCATTTAGATTAAATAGATTAAGTACTAACATAAAACTAAACACTAAAACATAATAAAAAAAAGATGTAGACCTATTTAAAAAAAATAAAAAAAAACAATTATAGTACTTAGTAGTACTAAAAGAATGGGTTGTACAACATTTAGCCACAAAGACTGGACTAAATGCATTTTCATAAATAATAAATTATATATGTTAAATTCTATGTATTTTTGTATAATGTGTAACTGTTTTATTTGTTTAAACAAACATTTTTATTACTCTTATTAATTGTTACATTTATTCATAAATAAATATAATACAAATAATTGTTACACAAAATATTATATAAATTATAATTTATAAAAAAATGATCTAATTCTGTCTCTTCTGTGTACAGCATTCGTGGCAAACCGTGCCTGCGTCATGGGGGAGCCGAGCTCAGCAGCGATGGGCTTCCAGCCTCCCTATGAACACCGTGGTTCTGTTCGTACCCCAGCAGGAAGCTTGGGTAGTGGAGAGGATGGGCCGTTTCCACCGAATCCTGGAACCAGTGAGTTATCATTATGAATGTCTTCAATGTATTTGAATCATTTCCAGGCATCAAAATAACATTTTTGGGTTTCCTGCAGGGTCTAAACTTCTTAATTCCAATCTTGGACCGAGTTAAATATGTTCAAAGTCTCAAAGAGATAGTGATAGATGTGCCAGAGCAGTCAGCAGTTTCCCTCGGTAAGATACAGCCATTGTGATCTTTTTCCACTCCTACTTTTATGGATTTTTGAAATGAATCAAATCGTGTTGTTTTGCTTGTAGACAATGTGACGTTGCAGATAGATGGAGTTTTATATCTCAGGATACTCGACCCGTTTAAGGCAAGTACTTTTCTGCTTTCTGCCAGTATTTCTTTCGGCTTTTCTTCTCGTAATGGGCTTTTGTTCTCCTCTGAAGGCCAGTTATGGAGTGGAGAACCCAGAATACGCCGTCACCCAGCTGGCACAGACCACCATGAGATCAGAGCTGGGAAAACTCACCCTGGACAAAGTGTTTAGAGTATGAATGCCAGACAATCTCTTAGTGATTTACACAATATCGTATTCACCATTCATTTGTGTTCTTAAGGATCATTGTTTGTCGTTCAACAGGAAAGAGAGTCTTTGAATTCCAATATTGTCCACTCTATAAACCAGGCCTCAGATGAATGGGGGATTCGATGTCTTCGATACGAGATCAAAGACATTCACGTTCCTCCACGGGTAAAAGAGTCTATGCAAATGCAGGTGTGACGATTTACTCTTCAACTTAATCTTACAGACCAAAAAGACTTAAATGATCACCTGTCAGTCATATGACTCGTATAACATGAATCACGGTCAGGTGGAAGCCGAGCGGAAGAAGAGAGCCACCGTTCTGGAGTCGGAGGGGACGAGGGAGGCGGCCATCAATGTGGCCGAGGGTCGCAAACAAGCTCAGATTCTGGCGTCTGAGGGAGAGAAGGCTGAACAGATTAACAGAGCTGCTGGTGGGTTTTTTTACTGAACATCTGGGGTTTCGATTAATGTTAGTAGTAGAATAACATTTTGTTGTTGGTATTAAAGTCAAAACTGTCTTGTAAAAGATTCATGCAACTGCATTTCCTTTTTGGCTGATGTCACCAGGGTTATTATTATTCTTAACGTAAAATAAAACCATACAATAATATTTTCATTACTTAAAATAAAATAAATATGAACTGTTATTTATAAAGTAATATTATTAATAAAATTAAAGTAAAAATAAAACATTTTATTTCAGCAAGCTGTCAAGGCAACATTTCTCATTTTTATTTAGTATATATAAGTTGAAGTACTAAATTAACTAAAACTTAAAACTATATAGGCATAACCTTTAAAAATGACATAAAACACATAACAAAATTACTAAAACTTCAGCTAAAATAAAAAAAAATAATAAAAAAAAGATTGTTATTAATAATAACAATAAAAACATTTGTTATTTTAGATTTAATTATTATTAATAATGAATATAAATATAATCATACTCAACAAATATACAAATAATAAACAACAAATAATTGTTTGTTATTGGATGTTAAAATTATTTATAATAAAGTTATAAATAATTATTATAATGATAAATAATAGCAAACAAGTCATTAAATTTGTTATAAATTATAGTAAAATGACTATTAATGATATTTAAATTAAATGGTTAAAATTAATTATATTTTCCCCCTGTACAGGTGAAGCAAATGCTGTTTTGGCTAAAGCTGAGGCAAAGGCTAAAGCTATCCGGCTGCTCTCCGAGGCGCTCACTCGACTGGTAAATCTGATTCAGCTTATGAAGAGCCTTCTTAAGAACCCATATCACACTTATACATCACCACACTATCTATCTTGTGTGTAAACTGATATTACACCTGAGACAAACATGGTAAGTTCAGGCTGTTTTACATCTGTCTTATTGACCTTTCATAACTGTATCTGTACAGAATGGAAACGCTGCAGCATCTTTAACTGTGGCCGAACAGTACGTCTCTGCTTTCTCCAACCTGGCCAAGGAGTCCAACACCATCTTACTGTCCTCGAACACAGGAGACATCAGCAGCATGGTCACTCAGGTGTGGCTTCATTCATATATATGGCACATAATATTCCCTAATAATAACAACCATGTCCCTAGTTGGCATGTATACCTCATTGTTCTCTTCTGCCTTCAGGCCATGGCGATTTATGGGAGTTTATCAAAGACACAGAGCACAGCAGACAGCGCGACCCCTGAGACTAAAGAGCTGACTTTGGAAGGAAACACTGTGTCTGAAACTGGATATAAATAATGTCTCATTCTGGGATAAAAGACAGAAACTGTTGATACCGCAACGGTTCTGGTTGTGAAGGACTGATGAAGGAAAACTGAAATGATAAAATCACTGAAGCACTGTGGCGTCCTGGAGTAACTACACAAGAAAGATTTTATTGTGTTCATGTTTTGTTTCCATCTATTATTATAAATTTGGAAAATGTAGTTTTTCCTGATAATCACTGACCCAGTGCTTGTATGAAAGGTCATTCGTCATTCAAATGTTTCTGCTATGCATATTTTCAATAATGAAAATATTTAACATGCTATTAATATTCATGCAATCCAAATTAATCGCCAATGAATGAATGAAATTGTGAACTGCAGAACAATGGTAAATGCTGTATGCTGTAAACAGCTTTTTTCCAAAACAGTGAGTTAAGGTGGGGTCACATTAGCGAAATTTTGGAGAATAGTGTTGTGATGAATGAAGCAGACTCACACAGAAGTCACTTTCCAACCAAGTAGATTTATGTTGGTCAGTACAGCGATTTTTTAATTTTTTTTCTTATTCAACGAAATTCCAGATTGCATGGATTCTTGTTGATGTGACTGGATTTTGGCCACGTCAAGTCACTTAACAACAGTAAATGTGGACACGCCTTTACACGTCTGTCCATACAATAGAAGATGGTAGATATGTTATAACGCAAGTGTAAAGTTATTTTCTGCGTTTAGAAGTGCATTACAGCAAACTTGCCAAAAATGTGCTGTTTATAATTCAGGGTTATTCTTTTATATTATTTAAACTAGAAAATCCTTTATAGTCAGCCAGTGATAATTGCAAAAATAAACTATAAAATTGTGATCAAGACGTTATGCTGTAGACAGAGCTTAACTTGTTTTATACCTGAATGTTACTTTAATTTCATCTAGTCTGGATGAAATATAAAGTTGTGTGGTATAATAATAAATCAAGCCGAGTTAAAACCTTTGCAAGAATTATGTCATATAGACTCAGGCGTCATTAACAGTTTTAAGAAGGGTATTTTTTTGAATAATAATAATATATGTATACAACAAATAAACATGAAGCGCACAAAGAATAAATAAAATGGATACAATTGAGAAAAAAAAAAGTAAAATATGCTGAAATGTATTTTGAATAGACATGGATTATATATATGCTTTGATATTTGACATAATTCATCATTAGACATTGTTTTAATGTGTGTGAGAATCTGCTGCACTCAGCTCTGTATGAGCCCGTATGATGGAATTCCAAGAGTTTTAGAATGTGACGCAGGACTATATAAAGCGTGAAACTCACCTGCTCACTTTGTGGCGAGTAAGGAGTTCAGTGTTAACAACAGTGTTTATTATGGGATAGCGACTATCTCGTGAAGAGAAAGTGAAGGGACGAGGTGAGTATATGCACATGGTCAATCCCCATCCACCCCTGACACCCACCGACCACATGGCGGAGCTCCATCCTCATCCTGAAGAGATGCCTACGAGTGTCGGTGAGGGAGGCAGGCAAGAGAGCAAGGGGAGAGTGGAGACGAGACAAATAATAAGAGGCAGAAAAAGAGGTTTCGGAGGTTTGCCTCTTTTTTACTCGTTTCTCTCTTTACCAAAATCCATCAGAGCCCAGGAGGAGAAAAGTGAGGTATGCTGCCCCATCTCCATCCACCCCGTCAAGCCCGGCCCACAAGTTCCACTCATTACCGCCAAAGTGGTCCCGGCCACTGGCATTCGGTTCTCAGAGATCATATCATGGATGCATCAGAGTCTTTGGATGCATCATGTCCACAGAGTTTCTTTTCTTAGCTGCCATGGGACCAGAGATCCTGTCAAGACCGCTCCAGAAATCCCAGGGAAGGCCACAATAAACAAACTACTGCTCCAAAACCTGAGGCACCAGAGGTACCTGAAAAATCCCATTTCACAGCTTTGCTGGTCTCAGAGGTCCCTCACACTTAGGTTCCTGCCACAGGCAACTGGTTCCCAAAATACCATCAGGGCCACTCCAGAAATCACTGTGAATGCCACCCTAAAGATTGAAGATGTGCTGCCCCAGAGCCTGCTGAGGTCAGAGTAACAGGCATCACAGAGTTTACTCGACAGGGTACCTTTCTAGGGTGACCCTGGTCCCAGAGCTTCTTGTCCCGGGCTGAAGGTTCCTGCTTCAGAACCTGCTTTGGTTCCACAGCTGTGTCATGGCAGCTCCAGTTTCAGAGCATCCCAGAGGTTCCTGATGACTGGGTCACACAGATGCCTGCCACAAAGTTTCCTCTCATGATGCTGCAGAGATTCTTGCCAAGACGTTCCAGCCAAGGCCACCCCAGTGTTCCCTGTAGGAGCCTCAGCCTGAGCTGCTGTCCAAGCTGCTTCAGTCCCAGAGCTCCTCTCTCAACCTCCCTGTTCCTAGAGGTTCCTGATAAAGCTGCTCTGGTCCAAGAGGATTCTGTCACAGCTGCATCAGAGGATCATCTCACCTCCCCATCACTGGTGTGATTCCTCCATAAATATATTACACCTGTGTGCCACATTAAATACACTTTGTGATTGTGAAAATACAGAAAAATGTGTTGTTTTAATAGGAAAACATTGGGAAATATTAACTGTTCCTCTAGAGAGGTTAAGCCTCTCCTTTTACCATTTTATATTTATCACTTTGAACAGTAATATGAATAATAAGCTAACCAGGGGTGCATTTCCCAAAAGTATCATTAGCTAACTATGGTTGCAAGCTCCATTGAACTCTATAGGTATCGACAGAACTTATGACCATAGCTGCTTTTGGGAAACGCAGCCCAGGTGAGTAACATCTCAAAGAGAAGCTGCACTGTGTAGCCCTCCATTTACTATTTGAAGCCTACATGGGGCGCCATGAACAGATGGGTAAGACAGACAGAATTATTTTTATCTATACACAAACATTTAATTACACATTAAAAGACATTAACTTTTATTGCAACTAAACAGGTTATGATCTTCAATCAATAACATTCTCATTCTTAAGCCCTGTCAATATCAATACTGCATTTGACAAGTTCTTAACCAGCATCCATTTGTTCTTATAAAAGCACTCTTCTTTCATTTTTCAACACTGCTCCTCCTTGTTAAAAGAATTGTAAAAAAATAAATAAATAAATGTAAACGTCAACAGAATGGAATATGTTGCTTTCCAGGAAGGCAACATTTACAAGCAAATCATTGATCAGAAAGGCTCATTTGCATGGAAAATAGAGTCAGAAAGTTCGAAATATATCAAGCTCCAGCCCATGTGTCAGTAGTATTAATACTTCTAGTTTGCCAGGACTG